TGCTCACCGCCCGCTCCGCCTCGCTGGGCGCTGCGTTCCAGGAAGGGCTTGGAAGCTGACGTGGAGGCTGAGCTCGGAGCTGGGACAGGAGTCGGGAAAACCTAAAAATCGGGAGAACAGTCCATGTGACCTGAGCCCAGCACCGAGCTCGGGTGCTGGATGGGCTCAGCTGGGACCCCGAGCCTGGCTGCTGTCTCCTGTCCTGTTTTACATCCCCTGTTGATTCCCGAGGCTTGAACACCCAACTGAGGTAGTGTTCCTCACCTGAGACCACCCTAAGCACAGACCCTGATCACGGCGCGGAGCAGGGATGACAGACGTTAGGATGAGCTCTTCCATCGTGGTCTCGGGGTCTGGAGAGGCGGCTGCGCGCAGTGTGCCAAAGACCCGACAGTGCCCCAGCCGTGGCCGTGGCTGCAGGTCTGCTTTTAGTCTGTCTGAACACAAGGAAAATAGATTTGCATACGTTATTTTCCCCTGAGCGTGTATTTGCCGCTGACTAGGAGTGTAGCAGAGCTGCACTGGGGCAGGGACATCCACTCCATTAGTGGGGCCAGCAGGTCAGGGAGGTTCTCCTCCCCCTCTGCTCTGCCCTGGTGAGGCCCCATCTGCAGTGCTGGGTCCAGTGCTGGGCTCCCCAGTTCAAGAAAGATGAGGAGCTACTGGAGAGAGTCCAGCGCAGGGCTATGGGGATGAGGAGCGGGACTGGAGCATCTCTCCTACGAGGAGAGGCTGAGGGAGCTGGGCTTGTTCAGCCTGGAGAAGAGAAGGCTGAGAGGGGACCTTAGAAATGCCTCTAAATATCTGCAGGGTGGGGGTCAGGAGGACAGGGCCAGACTCTTTTCAGTGGTGCCCAGTGACAGGACAAGGGGCAACGGGCACAAACTGAAGCAGAGGAAGCTCCAGCTGAACCCAAGGAAGAACTTCTTCCCTCTGAGGGTGACGGAGCCCTGGCCCAGGCTGCCCAGGGAGGCTGTGGAGTCTCCTTCTCTGGAGATATTCCAGCCCCGCCTGGCCGCGGTGCTGTGCCCCCTGCTCTGGGTGACCCTGCTTGGGCAGGGGGTTGGGCTGGGTGACCCACAGAGGGCCCTTCCAACCCCTGCCATTCTGTGATTCTGTGATCCCCGTGCTTGTGAACCCTGCAGTGATCTGTAGGGAGGTTCCACCCCCTCCCTGGTTTAGGTGCATCTCCAGGGTACCGGCATCCAGAGGGTTAACAGAGCTTTTTCTGGGTATCAACCTTGTAGCTTTGGTGTTTGCTTCCTTTTAAAGCCAGACAATGTTCTTGTTGTGATCCTTATCTCGGGCTGTTTTGCATGCTCCGTTTAACGAGGATCTTGTCTAGGGTTTCCTTGCTCCCTGAAAGCTGAGCTGTACTCTCCCTTGTGAGGACTTGTTTTCTCCAGCTAATTAGCGAGCTCTGGATGCGCAGGCTAATGGCCCGGCCCTCCCCTCTGTTCTAGTGGTCTGTAAGAAGAACTTGGACAGCACCACAGTCGCTGTGCACGGAGAGGAGATCTACTGCAAGTCCTGCTACGGCAAGAAGTACGGCCCCAAGGGCTATGGATTCGGCCAGGGCGCGGGGACCCTGAGCACGGACAGGGGCGAGTCCCTGGGAATCAAATACGAAGAGTGAGTTTGGGTCTTGTTTCCGAAACCGGGGCTGTTGCGGGCACCTTCTCCCCAGCATCTGTCCGCTTGCGATGCTTGGCTGCGTAGCCCGTGCTGAAACTGCTGCAGGGTCTGCTCAGGGGAGTGCCGTGGGCTGCCCTGCCTCGCTGTTCCTCGGGGGAAACCCGCTGAACCCTGTTTGCAGGGTGGGATGGGGCTTGATGGGACACGTCCCCGTTGCCTGGGCGTGCTGCCCATCCCCTCCTAGCCCGCAGCCGTGAGGCTGAAGCTTCCACGGGGCTCAACACGTTGTGTCTAAAGCTCCGGGCCCTTCAAAACTGGTTTGGGAGTTGTGATCCCATAGCTCTTCCCTCCTCCATCTGGCTTGTGCAGCCCTGACCGTGAACTCCCTCCCACCCACAGGGGCCAGCCCCACCGACCCACCAACCCTAACGCATCCAGAATGGCGCAGAAAGTCGGAGGTGCTGACGGGTGCCCTCGCTGTGGTCAGGCCGTGTATGCAGCTGAGAAGGTGATTGGAGCTGGGAAGGTAAGGAGGAGGATAGAGCGGATGGGGCACGCACATGCCACAGGTTGCTGTGAGGCAGGGAGACCTTCAGAGGTCTTCACCTGACCCACAGGCTGCTGCAGGCTGGGCTGGCTGTGCCTCCAGCCAGGCCTGGGCTTGGGGTCTGGTGGCCACGCTCCCCTGGAAGCCTGGCACCAAAAGCGGAGCTGGGCATGCCTGGAAACCAGGTTCTCCAGGCTGCATTGCTCTTCCAGGCTTGTAGATGGGAAAGAAATACATTTTATGCTAAGTACTCAGAGTGCTGCTCAGCAGAGGTCACAGTGGACATCCCTTGCTGCTAGGTGTGTTGGGAGAATGAGCAGTGACGTGGGCCGAGGTCACTGACACCGCTAACCGAATGAGTGCGGCGTCCAGCCGACCTTCTCCACCCTCTGCCGCGGGCTGGCATGGCACAGCCTGAATTCGGGGCAGGGAATGGAGCCCAGTGGCCAGCGCTGCCCACAGGCAGGGTGAGGTGGTTGGAGCTGTGGGCACGGGCTCGCTGCACCTCCCGTGGGCTGTTCAGCTGACGGACTCGGTCTGCGCAGGGTCAGATGTGAGGGGCACTCTGCAACAGGGCTGGTACTTCCTAAATCACCTTCATCACCTCACCAGGGTCCTTTGTGTCCTGAGCTGTGGCCTCGTCCTAGCCCAGCTCTGGGGAGCCCTGTGTAAGGCGTGGGGACACCTTCTGCTCTGCCAGCCCTGGGAACCCGGCTGAGGTCCCTCCGAGGTGGGGTACACACACAGAGCTGGCCAAGGCGGCCGGGTCGGGCTGCTTGGCTTTGTGCCGCAGGGGACAGGATGGCTGTGCCAGGAAAGCCTCACTGCCTGTCTGGTGACACGGGGTCACCCCTGCTGTGCACCCTCCCGGGGGCTCCTCTGCTTGTCCTTTGTCCCCACAGCAAGGAAAGGAGGCATCTTGTCAACAGAAAGGGCCTCCCAGCATCGTCACACCCCGGCTGGCAGCACAGGGACTTGTGATGGACACGCTGAGGGTCAGCCCGGGGCCAGAAGCCAAACTTACCCTTAAAATCATGAACTGAGCTTCCCGGGAGGCTTCCGGGCTCCGTGTTTGTGGGGAACCAAAGCTGGCAAAGCAATTAGACCGGAGCAAACCCGGAGAGGATTCCAGAGCGTGTATTTCATGGGCTGATGTTTGCTGGATGACTCCATCTGCTGCCTCCTCCTCCAGCCCCCGAATTTCACATTTTCTTCCAAAAAAGGGTTCGTGTTTTCCAAAGTGTTTATTTAAATTCCTCCGTGAGCAGCCCTGGCTGCTCTCGGTCTGCTCGGAGGCTCTGAGCTCATCTCTCCCCAGAGGACCAGCAGAGCTGGGGGGGGGGAGTTATTTTTAAACGCT